AGAAAAAAATTAGCCCCAGCCTTAAGGTATCCGATAGTAAGGGACGGAAATTATGAGATTATCCCGAATTGTATAGACGTAAACCCGATTTTTGTGGTGTCAATGCACTTTTGGGACTCTGATACGGTCCTTCTAGGAACAAACCAATTTATTCGCGTACATCTTTGTCCTTATTAAATGGCTACTTTTTGAATGTTAGCTACATCTACAGTGCCCGATTCATGTCTGGAGGCGCCAGAGGGTAAAGGATCTAGGAAATCTCTGGTAAATGGTCTTCATTGTGCTGATCACCTTTGGTGCGAATGTTTGTCAAAAAAATGTGTTTATTTCATGCAATTCTTCCAAAGTTCACTGACGATGTTATAATCAAATCTGCGCCTATCACCTGGAGAGGCGTCAGGTCCACGTGACTCATTAGCGGGTACTGTTTTGCGGCACCTGGGTATAAAGGTTTTAAGGAAACCATTAACCAGATTAAACCAGCCGATGCTCTACTTCTCACTGCCACTAGCTTTCTACTCCGTTTTGTGTGGAATAATTAAACGCCAAGAAAAGGTGATAATAACTTAAAAGGATACCTTCCGGAGACGAAGGGAAATGAGACGAAGTGCTATGTCCGCAGTAGCCGTTTGACGTGCAAGCGAAGGTGTGTGAACATGAGCACTATCACGACCCTAATGAGAAAATCGAGGCAGCGCACTTTAGAAGGGAGGTCCTTAGTTTTGATGACCTGTGCAGACTCGGATCACTGAGTGTGAGCACGTGCATTGATTGGTCAAGAGAACTCAACTGAAGCGCTGACCGAGAAACGTTTTAAAAGGTTTGGGAGTTAGACAAAAAAAAAGGTTTCGGCTTCTAGAGAGAAGCTTCTGTAATGTCAGAAAGGGAGTATTTTTCTGCCGTTTTGGTGGTTTTTATCATAGATTTGCGGAGGCCTTTATCCATTCATGGCAGTTTATGTGTTCAATCAAACTTGGGCGGTAGAATTCACCAAATTTTTGTATCGCTGTCACTTGTCCACTGTGGTGGCAGAATCCAAAGAGGGTTGTCTAAATTGTACTCTTAGAAAGCATTGCCTTATTCAATGGCAGTTAACCGTCCGGAAGCAATTCATTCGACAATTGAGCGAATATCCGTGAGACGTGGATACTTGAATGACGTCTGCATCACCTTTTTGTTCAGAAGCTGTCTTTAGAAGTCGTAAAACATTTTCATAAGGGGTATCCATTTGCAGCAAATCCTAATCGGCTTGTAATAAGCTAAAGTATGCACTTCAAAATGACATGCACAAAATCAAAGGTAAGTTTTTAAGAAAATAACGACTGCTAAGTTATAACTTTTTCCTTTTAAACTATGTAAAACAGATTATGGTGTCCAAATTTTAACCAATTTCTGCGATATTTTGCATTCTACATAGTCGTGGTCATAGGTATTTGGATATTTGCATGTGCAACACCACTGTGGCCAGTTCTGAACTTTTGAATGTACCCCAAGACAGCGGTTCTACACAGGGGGTTGACGGACACGCATACGAATGTAGATGAACTTGTAGGGACTTGCCTACCAATTTCACGACCTATTTCTACTTGATGTACACAGAATCAAAAGCTACTATGAGACACGCTTCACCTTCGTTGGCTTCAGCACAAAGTGTACTTGATAACTTGATTTCCAGCCTAATTTAAGATTGTGATAGTTGTGTCCTCGCTAACTGCACAGTCTTGTAGGCAAAATACTCGTTCTTTCCGTTGGCATTCAATAAAGTCGCTCTTATTCGACAAGAAACCGCGCCCCCAACTGTGCTCCAATGTGCTTGCACATCAGCTTTCTCACTTTTATTTCGTAATTGCTATTTGCATTCTCTAAACAAGGATTTTTTGGCAGAATTTTGTCTCTTTACAATTTCATTCAGCGAGTAGCGTACTTTTTCTGTTGCCTCGATTTATATCATACAATCATTTATCGCAATCGCCCAAAGCGCATCTGGAGTCATTATTTTCGTTGTGATTTGTATAAAAATGACTTAGTTTTCGGTTAATTTGCATGCAGAAGTGGTGGTTAACTCAAGCCAAATAGGCACTTTTTAAAGGACATTTTCTATCGTTTCCTAAAATATCGTACAACGAATCGTTTCATTGAGGCAAAGTACCACAACGTGACAGAAATTCTTTTAAGTTTCGAAAAAGTGCTCGAAATACTTAGACTGGCGAGTATTTATCTTAGGTTTTAAATTTCATCCCAATATGTTCAATCTACTTTTCTCATAAATAAATTTATTTCACAGCCAGCAATTATTGGACAGAAAATGGAGTAAAATAGTTCTCCCTTGAGACAAATTTTACCACGTAGTTATATAAAGGGCCAATATTGCTGCCGCATTCCGGAGTGCAAGGTTCTCCAAAAATAAAGCTATTTCGCGCATTTACAATTTTTTTCATTTAAATTCGCTTTATGATCAAGCGACTATGATTATTTAGCGAATACTTGGTATGATTATTCTCAATCTCCTACAAGTAAAATCGTTTTATGCAAATTTCTAGATGCTCGCATTTGTGCCCAACATGTTTCCTTCAATTTCTTTATATTTAAACACGCAATTGGAGTAGTGTCCTGTCCTAAACTCTTGACAAATTGTCAGCCTTAGAAGGCATCAATTTCCTTCCGGACTCCTTATCCAAATATGTGACAGTATAGTATAATTTATATTTTGTATTTTGTTCTGAATATGGTAGGATTGCTGAAAATACCACGCCTTTGTTTATTGTAAGCTAGAGGGAACTAAAAAGGTTTTAAAACTTTTTGTCTAAACAACAGTAATCTCACTTTGATGAGGCGATGGCAACATCAAACGTGAACCGCCCCAGCGAGGAGGAGAGGGCGGTCTCCCCTACGCCAATTTGGTGGATAAAAAGTATGTCGGTAGGGTAGTTCCGTCCCTGCCGTCACACAATATTAGGATAGGGACAGATACCTCCCCATGGGCCCATTATTACCAGTAAACTTTACTACGGTATAAATGATAAGGAATGGAAAAATAGTCTTGCAAATAATTTACTAAAATAAATGGACAACTGTCTAAGGGGGGGCCCCATTTAGCAAGGAGTTAGATTTCCGCCTCTCCACGTCGGTGAATAATTGTATCAAAATTATCCTTTGAGCCCCAAGAATGCCTTTTTCCCCATCGCAACTCATGCGATATGACCCACTTTAGTATGGGGCGTCTTTCGAGTATTATAACTACCTCACTTGTTTTCTAGGGGAATTAGTCCACAACTTTAGCCACATGGATGAGCACTCACTTTTGGGTCTTCTTCAAAAAACAGAACTTTTTTTGTTGATAATTTGTTCTTAAAACCCTGGCTTTTTTAAAATGTATTGTTGGAACGAATGGTCTTCTTTTAAGGTGGAGTACCACGCAGTGGCATAATGAAAGTTGCTACTTCAATTGAAATGTTGGTTTATACTGATAAATCACCATAATTCTCTCACAAATTTGCTTTTTCAATTTGTAAAAATCTCTACCGTCAGTGTAGGGATTGCCCCAGCTTCTTCAACTTGAATATCTCATTTTATTTCAACGGTACTGCTTGACCTTTGCGAGTGCAATTTTACCTTCAAGTCCGCAATTGCCAAGTAAAAAATGGAGTGTCTTATTCACTCGAAAAATTGTAATTGCTAATGATATAGGAGAAAATACCTGCATATTTTTGTGGAAAAGAGGAGTACTTTGCGCCTTCAATGGTACGTCTATAATTCTATTTGATTAATTGCTCGATCGTAAACAAAGAAAATGAAGAATAATAGCACCAAATTTGTAAATTTATCTCTTAATTATTTGGTGCTCCCAGTAACTTTTCTCTCCCTGTTGATTCGATTACTACTTTTAAGTAGAAATGGATGAGGATTTCTTCGTTGTACAGCTAAAATGCATTTACTTCGGAGAATGCTTTAGTGAAGACTTTCAAAAATATGTATTTTTTGATGAATTTAAAGTCATGGGAATCATTGAGCTCTCCTGTAATTCCCAAGCCATAACGTTAACAGAAAAAAATATTATCTATTGTATATTAAGATTTCTGCTTACTCAAGATCATGCAATCAAACCAATTAAACCTATTTGAAGTAGCAAAAATTTTTTTAAGGTTTTTTTGCTTATTTTAAGCGTAGTCCTTGTAAACTGTGTTATACTAATCTTGGGGTAAATGCGTCCGAGACTCGCCTCAGTGTGAAGGAACGTCAGTCTTCCACGTGCTGACTTTGCTGAGCAAAAGGTGCGGTGTTAGCATAAGCCCACTATCATTGTCTTCTGTGCTCAGATTAAGAATGAGTGTCTCCATCGCTGCGTTTGCAATCAGGAGGAACGATGGAATATCATTACAAGTGACTCTAGAAACCATGTAAATAAAGATAAAATACAGCAAGGAAGTCAAGGAAGTGTTTTCTTACCTTTTAAGAGGATTTAAAACCTTACATTCACCCGTGTATGTGTGGGTGCGCTAGAGGACTAGCCTGACAACTGACAAAGAAGCATAGGCTCAGGGACTTAAACACTTGCTTCCTTTGTTCACCTCGCAGTCTCGAAAAGAAACGCCAAAGACTTTACACTACCAAGAAAGTTACCTAAGAAGAAAGGCTTTGCGATTTCTTAGAACGAAAAGAAGCAGCTCCATGTACGGTAGGATCAAAGAGATATCTTTGGCATTTATAGATTCACCAGAAATGTCAATGGTACCTACTATGATTACTGAATAAAGATGAAATCCTCTGACAGGCCTCGACAAATCTCATTGTTTTAGCGGTAGCTTAAAACAATTTTTATAAATGTATTGTTAGCCGAAATCTAGAGGTGGCATAATTTCTTGACAAGTTCTACCAGTTTAAATTTACTTGACGCTTTACCCATCTCCTGTGCTATTTGACACCGTCATCCCTTTGATCCCTGACAGCACAGACGAATAAATAAAAGTCCCTCGTTGTGTCTGTACTCCTAATAGAACAATGGAATAAATTATAGGTGTTTATGCTCTACGAAACAGTTACATGGGTATAACCAACCATGCTTACCGATGAACAAAGGAAATAGGCTGTTACTCTTGGTCATCAAAATCTGTGTAACCTTGAAAGCGGTTTCGTATGACTCCGCATTCGGTATTTCAAAGAGATATGGGGTTAGAATTGTGGACAACTACAAAGTAGGGCTCGAATGTCATTCTGTTACAGTGCGTTCCGGCTTCTCTTGTTAGTGCTAATTGCCGTCGAGGTCGCAGTGATAACAACGATGTTGATCATCGAAGCACCGGGCACGGAGCTACGATTCTCCAAGGACCTCATTCGAGCTCGTTTGTGCTGCAACACCAGTCAACGCGGAAATATAATCCCGCTTGGGTTTCCCATCTTTCTCATAGGTCAGTTTATGCAGTCAACACCTCCTTTAGTTGCCAAATGGACCCCTTCAGCGAGTTTTATTTTGAGCAAGATTGTGGTTACTTGATGTGCGGCTTAGCTTGCATGAGACCCGAGTTGTTATCTTTTGAATGAAGTCCATGCCAGCATATAGTGCTATCAAAGAAGGCGTTATCTCCTATCCAAACAATAGACCATGGAATAAATAGTGCATAACTGAAGTGGTGCTTTTACATTTTGCAAATAGAATTTTTTTCAAATGCTGAAAATAAGTAAGTAGAGTTACTGTTTAATGGAGTTTTATTTTGGTGAATTGTTCGATGTTTATTTTATTATTCTGATGGCGTTTTTTGAATTTAAGTTAAGCTGACACAAGTGCAGAAGAGATGTGACTGAAGATTTCCAATTTTGCTTCATATTTACCACATAAACCACTCATATTTCTTGCTAGAACAAAAGTAATAGAAGTTAAAAGCGACAAAGTTAAAGTACGGGAAAACAGCATCTGCGCTTTTTACTAAAAGTCATGCATTAGTTTTATTCTTTGTGGAGGAGTACAGAACATGGAGCACATTTCAACACCACTAAAAACGTTTTTAGGTATATCCTTAAGAAAATTATGTTAGGGCCCAGATGCATGTGAAGGTGATGCTTTTGTTCACCGGATCTTCTTCACTTTCCAAGTAAACCATACCTAAACGGAAGAAGAAGGGACGGGAGGCTATAGGCGTGACCTTCAGCCACGCCACCAAAAGGGAAGTTGAAATGCCTGAGACCTAAGACCTACGTAGCTGAATGCCAAGTCCATTAAATATGAAACCGTTACATATTCTCATTCCTTCTCGAGCGTCAGTCCTCCACCTCGATCATCCCCATGCAGTTAATGCCTAGTAAACCACCTACAGGTCAGAAATGGTCGCCATAAAAATTTCACTGAGAGGTGAGGACTCTTGGTCCCACCGCCAATGACACACTTTGTCGATTTTGTTGTATTGGAGCTTTGACAACTGACTGGATGACACCCTTAAACGAGCGCATTTCCTACAGAAACCTTTCTTTGTAGGAAGATTTGCCTTAACCTAGACATAGTGAATGGGAACGTAATCAAACGGAGCCCCAAGGCACTAGTGATTTACATCTGTTCTTCTCCGTCCCTTTGCCCAGCTGTTGATCTGGGACGGGGTTAAGTACGAGAGTCGCGAAAGGACTGCCATTTGTTCACGTGATTCGTAGATCATGTAAGTACCGTAGGCACCTCAATACTGGACTTTTTAAATCGTGCAGCAAGATTTTGATCCATTTGTTTCTTGCCTTCATGCAAAGCATGTGATCGGGTGACTGTCAAAAGTGGTTATGCTCTCGATCCTTCAATAGCTCTTCTGCTGTTTCTCTAATGATTCAGCCATCTGAAGCAATTTTCTTAATTTTTTTAACAGTAAGACTTGATAATCCGTTAAAAGAATACGAATATTTACTTAATTTGAGCGGGTTTGCTTGCTCATGCGGCCAATGTAGATTCACGAGCCTTCTCTCATGTCGTGATAAGCCATAGTAATGTGGAAAATTTCGTAGTCAAAATAAAGAAGTACTGAAAAGCTCTGCTGTCAAAACAGGAATGCTAACCACGGAGACTGAAGCGACTGGCTAGTTAAGGCGCCAGATGAACGGACGTCAAATTATTAAAAATCCACAATGAAATGGTCAGCAGCACTGAAAGGTTAGATTTTTTGTGATTTCGACATTAAACCTTGCTTATCAGGCTTTAGGGATATCGCAAAACCGGAGTACGTTTAAACGCAAATGAGCCTGCCTTGGAAGACAGAGATGTTTGCACTTAATCTCTGAATTTTTGTAAGGAAAATGTTTTTCCTCAAAATCTGAAACTTCTAAGGCATGTTCCTCTCTTAATTCTATAAACAAAGTCAGCTGAAAAAGCTGAATCTCTTTCACTACCAGGTATAATTTTACTGGAAGCGAATGTACGTGCAGCACCCCAAGTCTTTCCTGAAGTCGAAAGGAGACATAACAGCGGAAAAAAAATATGCATTGTCGAAAGCCATTCCATCTAGCAGAAGTTCAAAGTCGGAGCCCTAAGTGTTCCCGTGACCAAAACGAAGAGTTAAGCAAATAGTCAGAGCAGTGCAATGTGTTGCTCATTGTCTAGAGTAGCATCAATTTTGTGAAATTTTAAGCTTTTGTTCAGGCGAAACTGGCACAAACAAATATACCATCTGAGGCATTGTAGATGTTGAGCACCGCTATATGAAATATTCCAAAATATTTAGCCTCTTAATGCCCTCAAGATCTCAGATTTTAGAAAAACACAAAACTTTCCATCGCGTAAATTATTTTTTGCCCAAATCATTTGATGAAGTTTAAAGGCTAATTGAAACTGTTCATTCAAGCGCCTCACATTAAATATTAAGAGCATAGAATAACTCCAGCTTGGTGTTAAGTAAATCTTAGGTGAGAAGTTGAGTCTCAGTATGCCAAATGTCAGATCAGATCATGAAAGGTTTTCATGTCGTAGTTTTTTGGGATCATTTCAAAGGGCGTTCTGATAGCTGACCTTTGACCTTTAAACGAAGTGTGCCATCCAAATGCAATCCCCAAGGTTGAATATGTTCTCAATTTTTTATTGAAATAAGTCGATTGACGTCTTAACTTTTCATCTGCAAACAATTTCACAATTGTTAAAAAATAGTTAAATCGGTAGATTAATTAACGCCCCTAAAAGAACACGGAGGACTCTTTGCCAAGTCAAGTAATTGATGATCAAAAACATCGCAATTGGTAGGCTTTTGGTAGAGCACCAAATCGTTTGAGGTCAAGTCATGAGTTGTGGACCTCATAAAAACTACAATCTAGCCTTTATGTGGAGGATAAATGCAGCCAGTCTTCTTAAAATCCTTCAGCTATGTGCACCATCTACGCCATAAAGACACGCAACCTGCCGCATAACTTCAATGAGGCCAAATTCATCGGCTTCACTATGTACACCACCTGTGTCCTCTGGCTCTCCATCATTCCGGTCTACCTATCAGGGTACAAGACTGAGGTGACCCTGACCCTCTGCATCAGCATCTCCGCCACGATCGCTCTGATGGTGCTCTTTGTGCCAAAGACCTACATCATCCTCTGTCGACCGGAGAAGAATTCGCGCATGTCATTCGCCACCGCGAAGGATATTCGATGCCACATGGGAGTGCTACAGACCAACGTCAACACTAAGGACAAATCAAAGAAGTTATTTGGGAAGAAGTGAGTCGTCTGCTTTATCTCACTCGCGGCCATCAACGAAACATGTGGCATCTCGATCCTCCCATCAGTCATATGTGCCTTTTACCAGTCTATGCTATTTAACTTTACCGAATTCTATCAAAAACCGGCTGGTTGAGAGTAAAGCAATGGCATAGGCGTGGGACAAACATGATTTGAAAGTTGATTGTTCATTTTTTTTTACCAGCACTTTAAGTTTGTCAGGTAATTTAAAACAAATTCCGACATTTTGCAAAAGTAGCGCCTCTGGGCAGTAGTGGTTGATGTTCTAACCAACGTTTCGGCCACTTGAGCGTGGATTACTGTCTGTCCGTAGCCAAAGTGTGGTGGAGGAGTTTTGCCAAGGCAGCTCTTTTCAAGAGGGTTTTAGTTGTGTATAAAATACGAATTTTTCACATTTTACCCACGGAAATGTAATGGGATTATCCATCATTAGGGAGGCATTTTAGGTTCCCACGAATGTGGATTCTGGGAGTTGGTGACTGGGTTTTGTGTAACGCTAATTTCCAATAGTGGGTCTGAGATCATCAAGGTAGAATTCATTTGCGCAACTCAAAATCTTCTTATCAATAGCGAGTAAAAGAATAAAGAGGATTTTAATTTCAGAGGTATTCAAATTGGGACAATATTTTATGTCAAACACTAAAGTGCAAGAGTCCAGTAGACTGACCTACCCGCATATACTGCATACAAACTTTAGTAATTAAGCAAAAATAAAAAGAAAGTGATTTGGTAGTGGACTAATCACAGAGTTATGCAATAATTTTACGTGGTATGATAACGAGAAAGTGGACGATTGCTGAAAGCTCCTTGAAGTAAGTCACGTGTCGATTTCTCCCGCACTGCAGTCTCTCATCCTTTCTCTATGCTACACAATCTTGCGAACACCTACTTTGCAAAACACAACGCCTCTGGAAGTCAGGCCATAATCCGGCCACCACTATCGTCCCCTCTGTTCCGCTTCTCCAACGCGATTGCATATCTGTCCACTGACTAGTTCACCTGACCTCACTGTACCGACTGTTTCTGAGGCCACTTACTTTACCCACACCCCATACTGTCTTTCATCCAATTGTATCAAGAGAGCCGACAGAACGCGGTTGTAGTTGTTTGACTTTGAGCAGGCGAACCAAACCAGCTGTGATGAAGAAAGCCGTCCACAATCCACTACACACACCTACATACGTGCAAACAGGAACACGTGTTGACACAAACGCATAAATACGCATGGACCTCCAGAGGGAAAGAAGGGAGGAAGCATTATCTTGTAGGGATAAAGTAATGCTTACCTTGGACGTGTAAGTCACGTGGGTGGTGAGTAAATTGAGCGGAAAATATTGATGACAAACTGTCTTGCTTTTGGAACGTCGGAGGTCAGAGTCATTGTCACCACAATTAATTCAGTAAACTATCCGAAACAGCGCGTTGTTGTAAAGTGGATGGTGGAAGTAAGAATTACGATGACCTCTGGGCGGTTCATTGTAATCTGTTAACGCATGACAGATTGGCAGAACGCAGTTGCTTAGTCCTTGTCACGACTTTTCTTTCCCAGACGATGCAACTGAAATCCAAGTTTTTTTTTATTGTTCACATTAAACTATACTGCGAGTTCTAGCTCACATGTTGCGATTTTCTACAGCCTAAAGCAAACCATTGTAGCAAGTCATACCGAAAACGGTGCAAGCTTCTATGTCACCCAGTAAATTAACACACTAGTTTGCCTCATTTTTGTGTCATAATTCGACTCCCAGGCCAGTAGAATGGAGCGATGTTGGGATAGAGGCTTTTAATGCAGTCTGAAACGCGTCTGATGTCACATTTATTGTAGGGAGATGAATTCCGATGGAGCCTCGAAGTGAGCCCCGGCACAATATGCAGGGTTCAACTGAATGGGGTATTAGAAGGCCATCTGCTGTGACTAGTTGACTCTCTTGAGACTCAATCCCAAGACTAATTTTGCAAAATGGAAAAGAAAAGTGTGAAGGTGTGGCACTGTTCAGTGTTACGTGGATCCCCTACTAACAGCTTTGAAATGTCCAAACAAACCGAATTCGTAAACCTTAATCTCATTTTCGTTTCAGAATCATCCAACTAATTTTATTCTATTTTTGAGTAACAACAGAGTGCTTGATTTTTGAAGATAATGAATCCTTTTTCATTGTACTACTTGCCTTCCGGCCCGAATGGGTGCGGACAAGAGGATCAGGCGTGTGCACCCTAATCAAGGTAAGCATGGACACTTTACACCGCAGACTGTTGGCACTCAAAAGAAGAAAATACCATTCGTATGGTTGGGGAAAAGGCGAAAGTAAACTCCTATTGCATGGGTTGAAACAAAAATCCGGAGTTACAACGTCCGATACTTTACCATTAATACCTTTGGACTAATAGGTGCGCCCAATACGTAGAGTTTTAGTAAAAAGTCAGGAACTTTTCTCATCAGCTGCAAAGAAGGGAAGTTTTTAACCCATAATTTAAAAAAAAGGCTTAAAATATACGTCTGCGAACCGCATTCCATGTATGTAGCATCCTGCGCTTCTAATCCAACCAACCAAGCTACAGGTCACGTGAACCACCTTCCTGACTACTTTATGCAGAGTAGTTACAACAAGTTTTGCCACAGGTAGAATACGTTGACTTTAAAGCAATAAAGCAGGTGTAGGATATTCCTGACCTCAAAATAATTATATTTCATAGTTTTTAAGCAGGAGTTCGACCAATCAAAACCAGTAGTGGTGATTGATATCACGGGAGGTTGTTGAAACCCCACATTCGAAAATGAAAATTTTTTAACGTGATGGGTTGTTTTCCAACTCTGGTTTTGACAGCTTTCTCTGTAAGCCACGAGATAAAGAAAAATCAGGCGTGATTTCCGTCCTCTCCCTTTGTCAATGCAGAATGTAATTTATTGCCCTGTGGGACCGACTTCATCTCTGTCCGTAAGGAAGAAAAAAGCTCTTTGGGAAATTCGCATCTTATTTGAGAAAGGCGAGTTGGCAGAAAGCACCACTACGAAGTCGTTTGCATGTTTGGCGCTGCCAATGCATCATTCAAGCATGGGTGCGTCAGGTTCAAGTCGACCCTTTATTTTCGATCATGAGAAACTACACGTCGCCATCGCCTGAAGTTATATTGCGATTACAGTGACGAGAACACTCAGTTTAGTTTAGTATAAGTGATGAAACGGACTTCAGTTACATCACTTGGGAAAGGGCAGTCGTAATGGAGGCTAAGCAACTGGGCTCTACTAATCAGACACGCATTGAAGGATAAAAATAAGCCCTTAAGAAGTCATTTTACTCTTCGCTTCTTTCGCCTACTTAATACGAACACACTGCTTTAGATGGATCAGTGGATGCTTTATGGTGCGAATGGTTCTGACTTCTGACTTCTCTCTCCTTACCTACCTACATCCCTCCTTCCTGTGCGTGTGTGTATGTGCTTATGCATCAGTGCCTTCATGTGTGTGTGCGGTGTATTGTAAGCCGTGGGTTATAGATTGTGGACGGCTTTCTTCATTATGGTTGGTTTAATTCTCTTGCTTAAGGCCAAACCAATGTAACTGGGTTCTATCTGCCCTCTTGATACAACTGGATGAAAGACAGTGTGGGATGTGTGTAAGGTAAATGGCCTCAGAAACAGTATGTACAGTGAGGTCAGGTGAGCCAGTCGGTGGACAAACATGCGATCGCGTTGGAGAAGTGGGATAGAGAGGGAGATGGTGGTGGCTGGATTACCGCCTAACTTCTGGAGGCATTGTTTTGTAGAGTAGGTGTTCGCAAGATTGTGTATCATAGGGAAAGGATGAGAGACTGCAGTGTGAGGCGAAATCAGCGCAGCAGTCCTACAATTCCTCACGAGAATAACGTGCTAACTTACTATGGTGCCTTATTCAATTGAAAAAGCACTATCCTGTTTTAGCATGCGATTTGTTTTTCAAAACACAGACGCATTGTTGTCCTTGTAATTGACAGATTTATACTCTAACCATTCTCTTCAAACCTTTTGATTGTTAGGGGTAACCCCGTGGGAGGCAGAAAGTCCTCTGGCTACACCGAAGTGGTGGAAATGGCGAGTGACAGAAAAATCTCCTTGCTCCCACCATCCCAGCCACCAGGAATGCAACCCAAAGCATCGCATGATTTGACAGCACCATCGGCAGAAGTCTCCTCACCTAGGATAACGAATGGCAGTCCCGGTGGAAAAGTTGATGATGCCTGTCGAGGGTCCTCAGATTCAGTCCAAGTTTCTTTGGATGAGAACAGACAACGGAAGTCATTTATTCGACGGGAAAAGCATCTATTCCCACCGCGGATGAGGCCATCGATGGTAGATTTAAGTCTTCTAAGGAAGGATAAATAACCCAAGTTCTAATCGGTTGGTTTTCGTCTTGTAGAAAGCTGAGGCGATCTGCCAAACTGACTGGAGTCTGCCTCCAGGAGGAGAACTGGGGTTGGCTGAAGCTGAGGACCTCTCCACGGGATCGGAATCCAATAAGAGGCTGTCAAGCTTCTCATCGGAGTAATCGTTCCATAACATCCACTATCGTCGAAACATTTACATATCATTTGAACTGGTTAACATTGCTGATTTGTAAATGCGTTTGCGAGGCAAAACTGTGCTTTCAATGACAATCAAGATTACGTTTTGTTGCAGTTATACTCTATTGGAATGCGGACTCTTTCATTCAATAACCCCATTCCTTATTCACTTTTCCATGATATGCCATGGAAAGCGCAACCTTTACCAACAACCAAAGGCAAACCATTAAGTTCCAATTCATACTGAAGTTAGATACCGGGGTGTGGGATGATTATAATGACAAAAATTAGTATTTAAATATAATACTAACGAAAAATATTAAAGTTTTGTGGCTCAAAACAAACACTTGGGCCAAAATTTTTCTCTTCATAATCGTTTCGTCTGCGGAACCAAAAAACATTTGTGTAAATCAATCACATATATCACAAAAGTTTGTGAGGTAATTGTCTTCATGCGTCCCATTTCATAAAGCACAGCATTAAGCTCTCTAGCTTTACAGTCTACTACAAAGAAATCAATGCGCAAATAATTTGAATTCGTGAAATGGTTTAATTACCTGCCTTACCAAGGCAAATTTGTTTTTTTGTTACCCATTGTTTGAATTTTTCGTTTATGTTGTAATGCTGTGCCATCTGCTTGAGTCGAGGTTTGGTGGTTTTTTAACCGTGTAGGTGTTGCAATGAATCTGAAGGGGCCAAATGTATCAGAAGTTTCCTTTGCTTTACAAATGCCTCCTTTGAGTACTGACGAGACACTTCCACCAATAAATCCAGGTTTGCTTTCCTACTAACATTTACTTCAGCATTTTCACCAGTCCCAATCCGCCGAAGGAAAAGAAAAACCTTTACGTCAAACATGGCTTCATCAGCTCTTAGAAGTGAAAGAAAGAGGTCATACGAGCTGCTAGAGAAGATACTTATGGCTAAACAGGAGGTCTTGAATGACCAACAGTGTCAACTTGATTTCCTTAAGAGCAAAGTGTGTGCCTTAAAGGAAGATAATCGTATGCTAAAGGCACAAGGCCATGTTCAAGCTGCCATTATTGAAAAGGTTTTCAGATTCGGTCCTCTATTTTTTTACGTTATTGCTGTTCTGCCTAAAATTTAATGAGAATTAAGAGTTCGGTTCTTACATTTATTAATCCCATGGTGGATACGCGTTTCATCATAATGACACTTTTGATCTAGTTAGACGGAAAGAATGCGAGGCTGCCAATGCTGATGAATAGTCAGATGGAGGAAATAAGGGTTTATCGTGAGCAGCTGAAGCGTTTGAAGGATATTTTTGTTCGCACAAATAAGGCTATGCAGGAGTCGGAAAGTGCTCGTTACAGAGCCGAGGAGGAGCTGCAGCATTTAAGGGACCTCGCTTTTGAACAGAATCTGCCGGAACGTGAGGAGCTGGTCTCTGCTTTGCAGCAGCTAAGGGAGGAATATGAATCCATTGAGAGGGACAAAGTGGTCAGTTTTGGGACTCTGTGCCGTTTTTAAGTTCCGATGCTTCCGATTTTCTTATGAAACTGACGTGATGTTGTTTCATCTTCTTACTGTGTTCAAGTCGTTCTTTATTTTTAATGACTACTTTTGCTTTTTACCTTTATTATCAAATATTAAGTTTGTCACATCGAGTACTATCCATTGACCGATTTGTTCCTTCGGAATGATTTAAATTATCTTAAGTCGTCGTCTCAAACTCATTTGCCGTGTTTTGACAAATTTTAGTGAGATGCTTAAAATACAAGCCCAGGTTTGTTAAATCACAGTCAGAACACTTTTGATGACGCATATTTAGTTAATTATTCCTATCCAAACTCGGTTAACAGGAAATAATTACACTCTAATGCCTCCGGAGCCTTATTTTTCTCGAGGCATTACTAGATACCTACTACAAATTTTTCTAGTTGTCCGCCATCTTGACTCAGGTGCAGTTTACCTTCAACACGTTATTCATGCATTTGCTTCTATGCAGACCAACCATTATGGAATATTCTATACTCTGCTTCCATAATATTCACTCGAAACTGCGTTAAGCAGTAAGTTATAATAATTAGTTTGGAATTTCCGAATCAACCCCATAAACATGACGACGATAAATATTTTGACGCTACTATTATTTATAAGAGTGAGTGTACCTGCTTGGTCTATATAAATCTTAACAAATCTGATATTGTATCATCTTCTATCGACTTTATACCTTATTCCACAAGCCCTGAGGTTGTTAGCAGACCAATTTGATGAACGGTTTAAATGCCGTTTTCTTGAGTTTGATCCTATACACCAAATCAGTTAAGTTCATGTTTGATGCTAATCTTATTAGCCCAAATCTTTGTATTTACAGCTGCACATTTCATTAGTATTCTTCGTCTCTTAACAATCTCTTATTATTTGTATTTGGCCCATGTTACCTTTGGCGGGTCCTTCCCTCGTCTCTTTTTTGTCTGGTACCATTTCATTTACCTGTTTACTTTACAGTACTAACAAAAGTAGGCGTGGAACTTCATTCCCATTCATGGCATTCTTTAAGCTCAAATCGGTGAAACTTAGGCTTTAAATACTCGGGATAGCATGACCACAAAACGTAACGTTCACTGCGATCGAACAGTGACATGAAAAGTCTGTATTGAGCAACTGCCCCAAGACTTTGAATACAGACCTGCGACCTTAAGACCTTGCATAAAAAGTGGCGTAGCGTAATATGACCTTTGGTTCTTGCCACCCTCCAATGATGTATACGGAAAAGGGAATCATTTTGAAATAGTCTGCAGATGCTCTCGGTTGTTGTTTGCCCCCAAGGTGGATTGAATCTTGCTTAATTGAATACCGGATTTTATTCAGGAAGCGCTCTGTTGCAGCTCTCGTTAGCAATAGCCGACAGGGGTTGGATAAATTCAACAACTATCTCGATGTGAAAACAGCAGTAACGATGCCTTTCCTGTCTGTAAGGCTCGCGATAAATTTGTTCTTTGCATGCATCAAAGCGTTCTGCCTTTCATTCGTTTTCGGTATCTTCCCCTCATAGTTTCCCTTATCCTCCCCACTTCTGTTTACTTCTCTAACTGCCGACTATTTTGCTCGCGTTGTAAAGCTCCCTCTTGCCCTCTAGGCACTGGAGAAGTATGTTCACAATCTGGAAAAGAACCAGCGATGCGAGCGCACACGCCTATTGCGACAACAGCGCGACCTGCAGGCCAAATGCGCCACACTGGCCTCCACCGTGCGTGGTTTGCAGACGGATCTGCAGGAGAAGCAACGGATGCTGGAGGCACATGCGCAGCGTGGCAGGAGTCGATCCACTGCTCGAGGGACTGCCGACGCCACAGCTGTACAGATGCAGCCACCTCCACAACCGACTCCGTCACCGCATCTGGTGAAGACGGTGAGAGGAGTTTTGACTTTTTGCTACTTCCAATAATGAAATATTCGTAATCTACACGCAATTCTGATTGCATCCGCCTCTTTGAACACACTTCACCACCTTAGTGCTGAAGCTGAAACTCGAAGTGAATTTTTGCTCTGATTTGCCCATCATAGCCATCAAGGGGTTGCGTTAACAGTCAGCCATTTTGACCTTAAAAGTACGTTTAAAATAAGCCAGGATGGCATTACTACTTCCAGGAATGCTAGTCATTCCGGCAACTTTCGTCTCACTTAAACCATTGAAGCTTGCAGCGAACTCAAGTACCATTCCCTCATCTCTATTTCGCAGGAAACGAAAATCAAGGCTCAACTGAAAACCACCAATCAAATGGATGGATGCACTTCTCAAACCGACAGTAAGCCCACTTTACACCATCGCAACGAAATCCGTTCGTAATCTACTTGATTTGGTTAAATGCGTATCCTTAAAGCCCCGAAAAGGAATGTAAAATCCTCCACTCGTCCAGCAACAACGATTTTGAGCGTTGAACCACGCATATCAAATGAGGTGTTCTGTCGTCCACAAACCGTTGAACCGACTTTGGATCTGACGAAAAGGTATATTTGACTATGCATTAAGGGAGTGCGCAGCCTTAAATAAAATATCATTTGGATTTTTGTAATGCCCTCTCAGTCAAATTGTGTTTTAGTTTTATATGTTGATTTAGGCTTGATCCTCTCAGTTTGCTATTGAATGGTCGACAGTTAAATTGTGCGGACAAGTTTATCTTCACCCAAACAATTCATTGCTTGCTTACTTAACCTTTATTTCGAGGCTTCCGAAAGTGTTTTTTTTAAATAATACACTTTTTCCTTAAACTAAGTGTGTTTAAATTCGCGACTATTCATACCTTCTGTCAATGATTTTCGAAACCACTCTACTTATATTCTGCCTTCAGTAGCTGCCTTGGAAAAAGCCATGATTGCGAACTGGCAGTTTTGAAAGCTAGGGAAAACTTGGCTCGTTTGGTTGCAGAGGCAAAAATCAAGGAGGAGGAGGAGGAGGAACCTATCATGTCAAAGAGGGTATATTGGATTGTCGTATTCACATTATTTTTGTCGTTTTTGTGAGAGATCTTTGATTGAGTTATAGTCAACTGTCAGGCATGACTTGAGGCATCTATTTCATTTTTTTCTGTAAGTTGGATTAGGCTTTGAAGCTTCAAGAGTTTACCTCTCATTTGGGTTCGTCTTAACATCTCTATTTACGCCTTTCTCTTTCATCTGAAGAACGAGTCGAAAGCTGCTCCCCTAACCACCATCGTCGGTGCGCAGTCTTACGAGGACTGGCCAGAATTTGAGGTTGCCGAACCACTCAAAATGCAACCACTTCCACGGCCCGTGAAAGTCCAGAATGACATCAAGGCGATCAAGAAAGCTGGTGCTACGGCTGCTAGAGGCGACTCTATAGAGGTAGGAGGGTGACAAACCCAGCTAACGGATAAAACGACTCAAATATTTCTTCTTTTTCTTCAGGTCCCAGAGGCGCTTCAAAAGTCACCAGCCAGTACAGTGCAAGAAAAGTCTATGACGGTCATTTCGGATCTAGTACGTGAAATGACGGTAGCTAAGGAGAGGCAAGACGAATTCCAGGCAGAAAATGCGGACAAAAATGAATGCTCTGGTGTTTGCTCTTCAGTCATTTCAAAAACTATAGGAGATGGGGACAGTGTGAAATTAGGATCAAAAATTCTGCAAGGTAATCCAAGGGAGAAGAAGGCTGTCCATTCAAAGGTGAGTAGCGATAAGAGTTTGGCACATCTCATCACCCTAGCTACTCCTAAAAGTAAGGCTGCTTTATATGCAAAGAGAAGAGATAAAAGGCTCGTGGCAGTTTCCTAACCATCATTCCTGGGGCTCCCAATCTTGTTTAATTACCTTGTACTCAGTTACCGGCAAGTTCTAATATGGTTTTTCCTCCACTAGGAGTCTCATTCACAACACCCACATCCGACTGCCGCCAACGCAATCACAAACGTCGATAGCAACAACACAAATAGCGCAGAAACCGCCGGCAACACAAGTGGCACTCGTCTTGCCTCCAAACTCTTCGATGCTCAGGCCAAATCTGCACCACCCAACACCTCGTATGCTTCGCTGAAACAAAAGGTAGTTTGATGGGCGAAGTGGGCTTCTTTGATTTGATTAGTGCATTTACACAATGCTGCTTGGCTATTGGCTAAACCGGTACGATTAACCAACCACTCACACCAACATTGTATCGTCCTCTCATGTATGGGAATCGGCTTGGGCTTTTATAACGCTTGAAGAAAACAGCTATATTAAGTCGTTTCAACGTGTACATTATTCAAACTACGAGTAGAGCATTTTTAGAACGAGATTTTGATAAGGAAATGCAAGTAAAGAAAATTGGCGCCCTTCTGATAATTTCACATGTTAATTCTCTTCTTTGTTCAGTTTATTGGTCATACCGATTCACTTGATTTAAATTTGCACGACCTCTCAATTCTAGCTGTCCCAAAAAACGAGGATAATGCCGCATTCGACATGGTTAATTCCCATTTATTTTAAACTTTGAAATAAAAATTTGATTTTTCCAGACCGAAACATCCCCATCTCCGGAATGTTTGACTACACGGGATGAAAAACAGTGAAAGACAAACATAACTTATACGAAAAATACACGTAAGATAAATAAGGTGAGCCACTGCATTCCTCATGAGTAAGCACTGATTAAGCGTTTGAGTAGCATATGTTCTATCCGCATTCTAAAGGTGCTTTTCTAGTGGAAGGTTTTCCATAATTCCTAATCATTTAGATTCCATTTTAGCCTGGTGCAGCCGTTCAAATGGATGATGAGCTCGAATGTCATCATGTCACCGGGCTTTACACTGAACCGTCCGTTCATTGATGCCACGATGTAATTCGAAGACTTTTTTTCCTTTCATTTTAGGGGAAAACCTTTCGCAAAGTAAGGGCGTAAGTAGAAAAGCAAGTCAGGGAGGAGCGTCAAGCCGTTTTTTTCTACTCAGGCTGATGTCTGACCGCATTGGTGAATCGACCACACTCAGTCAAGCGGGAATCGTAGATAGACGCTTGTACGGGCGGTCATTTCTGCTTTTATTTACGTTCGTTTAGGAAAATAAAAGTGGTTACCTGCCCTCTCCCGCGTGTCTTACTCCGCGTTCTGACCAGAGTATTTTTTGATCATGGTTGGGGATTGGACACCCATTTAAACGTTAGAGGTGCTACTTTCCATTCTTGACTGAAAGGCATGTAATTAAATAAGTAGTCTCCGCGCCTACTATAATTGGTGTCTACAGGTTAAAATCGTTCTTTGAAACACAATATATATCAAAATCTATCTGCTGAGTAGAAGAACTTGTTGCGAGAATCCTACCTGTCAAATGTAGAGGGACATACGGTTGGGATGTCAAAGTTTTGTGGACAAATTACTGTGCATCTCCATTACATCGTCAAAATTATCTCACCGTAGGTCAACGGACTTCCTAAATATTAAATTCTGCGTTTTTTACATGGGGTAAAGGGATAAGACAGTATGCTTTTCACAAGGAAAAAAAACAAACCAAATGTATCAGTTGTGAAAGAATATAACATTACTACCTAACATCATCCTTCAGTGAGATATAGGATAACTGAGTTCCGATTCCATGGAACAATTTATCCCTGAAAGCAAACAATCAGGA